CTAAAAAAACAAAGACATCGGAAAAATATCTATACGAAAAATACGAAAAAAGTGAATTCTTTGTCAAACAATTGAATCTGTTTATTTATTGTATATTTTATTATCTCAAGCAAATACCAATTTCTACCGATTCAAGTTAAAATATTCAAGATGCCTGAGATACTTAATACTATACCGCCGCTATCATTGACCATTGAGAATCTAAGCGAAACGGATGGTATCGCCACCGATCGCTCGACCACTCCAGGTAGCGCTACGCCTAGTACAAGTGGTAGCCGGAGACCTTCCCTTGAGCGCATGACTAAACGGAATCCACATCAAGCGAGCAGCGCGCAGAATAAGAAGACACGCAGATCTATTTTTCGGCGGAATCAGAAGAAGGCGCCATTAAAAGTTGGGTGAGTTGAAAACATCTATTCGTATTAGATGCCCAGTGGGAATATTCCCCCAAAGTAAAGTTTTAAGTTAAACACCTGCCGTAGCTCACTCGTTGGCATTAATTTGTAAACAACAAGTCCACAGAAATTTCAATCAGTTTTCCTATTATATTGTTCAGTTTTTCGACACTGAAAATTTCAAAAGCAATATATACAAAAATTTTCGGTTTTCCTTGAGCAACTGAATTGCAATAAAATTTCGACATTGATTCGCTAATCCGATTCAAATTGGCGCATATAATCGCAATAAGAAGACACATTTTAAAAATAAATTATTTCAGAAAAAACTTGTCTCGTAAACTTATTTACTCCTAATTTTGCTCTCCATCAAACACCCCGACCATTTTCATCACATCTAATGTACCACATAGTTCACCACAAAAGTGCACGACTGCCATCTGTCAGAAATCTCAAATTCCTCGTGCCTTGTTGCTCACGCGGTCCTCGTCGTCAGCATCGCTTATCACCAACGTTTCGCGCAATATATCAGCAGAGTCAAATGCCAAAGAAGATAAAGTTGAGAGCAAGACTTTAAAACCAGTCGCTGCAAACGCTTTTGATGTACAGCCACCACACACCACCGCTGATAACTTGGTCGTAGCCCACCAATACAGCGGCAGCAATATTTTCACTAACATCGACATTGTAGCGACAACCTCAAAGACCCCCGCCACCCAGGTTTCTTTGCAACGACAGTATACAGCTGCCGTACTCAATTTCCAAATCCGTAAATCTGTTACACAAATGGATTTGAAGCGCACACGACGTGACTACCTCAAGAACCGCCAAGTGCTAGCTTCGACGCAGTCACCATCTATAAGTGGACTCTCGCAGGGCTCCAGAGCTTTGATGGCGAATGATAACAACGCCGATATAGCTGGCGTGATGGGAGCCTCAAGTCAATCATCACTGGTGAACAAAATTTTCGACCAAAACAGTTACTATTACGTGATACAGGATCAAAATTCTAAGGTTGCTGGCATGCGCATTTTCGCAACCATTATGCTGAACGCTTGGCGGAAACGCCGTGACGAGGTTAAACGTCTTATGGAGGAAGTCAACGATCTGAAGCGTGGTGTAAGTCGCTTGTGTTTTTATGGCGATCCTCTGGTCTCTTTAATTTCCCCTTTCGGTGTTTTTTTAATTTCTCTAACTGTAGTCAATAAAAGCCAAAAACCAATTACACGTTTTCAATACACTCTTTCGCGTTGAGCAAAAACGGAACGATGATCTCAGTCTTCAGTTGAAACGCTCTCTAGACGATATCAATAATACAAAATCTTCTTGCGAGAGTCTCACCACTTCGCTTATCAGTCTAAAGGCGGACAAAGCATTGCTCGAACAGCAGATTCAAATAAAAGAACAGGAATTTGATGGTATCAATGCGATACTAACCCAGACTAAATCCAATTTATTTAAAGCTATGACCCAACAACGAGAGCTGCAGGCTAATTTGTCTACCGAGCAACGCAAGGTGCAGGCGTTAGAAGCACAGAAAAATGAGTTGATTAACGAGGTATCTTATTGTTGTAATCAACAAGTTTTTCCCTCGATTAGCCTGCTGCTCTGTAATTTCAGATTTGCGAAATTAACAACAAATCATTGTGGAAGGAGGAGAAACTACGGACTGAGATGAAAGAGAAAGATGATGCTGTGGCAATGGCGTTGACTAAGATCGAGTCACTCGAATTAGAGATCTCTGCGCAGAGACAGTGAGTATTTTTTTCTACATAATTTCACCAAATCTACCAAATACGCAAACATCTTGACAAAACTAAAGTCTCAGACATACTGCAATGAAAGATTGATAAGTCCATGTGTAGAATATATTCCGATGTCACACCATTCCTCGTTTCTGTCAAAAGCAGCATACCTAATTCTTACAAAAGTGGGTCAGTGTCTCACACTCTTCAAGGCAGCAGGGGTAATGGCAGCTGTCAGGCACCCCCCTAAAATTGTGCATATGGAAACTGTGCATACGAAATAATGCATATGAAAAAAGCCGAAATAATGCATATATGCACAGTTTCGGTTGAAAGCCGCAATAATGCTTATGAACAAAAACCGAAATAATGCACAGTTTCGATTCAAAGCCGAAATAATGCATATGACAAAAACCGAAGTAATGCATACATGCACAGTTTCGGCTCAAAACCGAAATAATGTATATGACAAAAAACGAAATAGTGCATACCTGAAAACGAACTTCTTTCTGCGAAGGCGGCCTTCGGCCGCGCTTAGGGATTATAACACTTACTAAGTAGAATTTTCATTCTGTGTTGCCGGAAAAGGGAGGAGGGAGCCGAATTATTTTTGCGCAGAACTTCTTTTTGCGTAAGGGGCCTTCGGCCGCGATTAGGGATTATAAACCTTACTAAGTAGAATTTTCCTTACTGAGTTGCCGGAAAAGGGGGGTGGAAGAATTTTTGTGCAGAATTTCTTCCTGCGTAGGCGCCCTTCGGCCGCGCTTAGGGATTATAACCCTTACTAAGTAGAAGTACATAATTCATAGTGGAAAAAAAACGAAATTATCCATATGCACACTCTCGTTAGGAAAACTGAAATAGTGCATATAACAAAAACCGAAATAATGCATATGTAAAAAACGAAGTAATGCATACATGCACACTTTCGGTAGAGACTGTCTGACAAAGCGCTAGTTCTGAAATACATATCTCAGAACTATCTCTGAACTAGTGCATAAAGAATGTAAAGCGGGGCAGTTGAAACCTACCGTGTAAATGTGCAAATGCTCATATAATACGAAAGTAGCTCAGCGAGAATACCCCCGACTCAACCATCGTTGGTCGCGGGTTCAAATCGCGGTGGAGGCAGTTGTGAGATTTCAAATTTAATGAATTTAAATTGTTGCGTGTAGCTTACAATTTTTTTTTAATAAAATATGTAACAAAAGCGGAATCTGTAAAAGAAAAAATGTTAAAAAATCGAATCTCAAAAACGTTTTCTTATAACAAAAACTGTCCAAAATGGAACCGGTTAAAAACTAGTTGCAAAGTAATGCACTGGGCGACAATTGCCACCGCCAATGACATCGCTGTGTAAAACTGGACAGTCGAAAGCATTGCTTGGGTATTGAGCTAGAACTGGTACTGTCGGCAAAAGGTCTAATTCTAGGCTAGTCAGATTTTCTGCAGGGTGCATATGAGAAACCCGAAGTAATGCATACATGCAAAGGTTCGGTTGAAACCCGATATAATACATATGAGAAAATATCGAAATTATGCATATGCATACTTTCGTTTTAAAAGCGAAACAATGCATATGAGAAAAAAGGAAGTAATGCATACATGCACAGTTTCGGTTGAAAATCGAAGTAATGCATATGGCTAAAACCGAAATAAAGCATGCATGCAGAGTTTCGGTTTAAACCGAAATAATGTCTAAATGCACAGTTTCCATATGCACAATTCCGGTGCCCCGAGCTGTCGTGTGCACCTGCATCCCTAGATGCGTCCCAATCATTTCTGAGCCTTTTCTAGCCAAATGGTCATGTATCTTATTTACAGGTACTAACTTGTGACCGGGAGCCAGAGTAAAACAACCTCGGTATATGTACATATGACCGTTCAAGTTTAAGAAGAGTAGGTACAATTTTACCGATTTTTACATCACTATTTCGCACCACATCGATCCCTAATTGCGATTTTATCGTAAGCGACCAATTGTTGCAAATAGGTTGCAAATACTAATCACAACGTCCTACAATAGGTTTGTTACAAACAGCCCAGAAAGCGTTCCTCACGCTAGAAAAATGGGTAATAGAGAGCGAATACCTTCCACTTTTGAATCGTAAATGTCTTCTTCTTTGTGCCCGAAACAGCCCCGACTTTTTTCCCGGGCAGAAATGTGCAAGAAGTAAATTTGAGATGACAGCTGTTGTTTGTTTACATCTGATAGTAAAGTTTGTAAAATACAAAAATGGAAAATAGCGCTAAAGGGTCAGAAATGTATGTATTTGCTAATTTTACGGCTATATAAGATAAATGCACATAAAATCATTGTTCAGAACTGATTTGTTGATTGTGGGCACGAAAAGTGTTTTTTTTGCGTTCCTCACGCTCTGAGCACTTTTGCCACGGGTTGACACATTTTTGACACTTTGAGAGTGAAAGTGTGTGGAACAAACTTATTATTACAGACTATGAATATTTACCGTTACGGAAAAAAGCAAAATTAATTTTATCGTTAGCTTTGTTTACACTTTTGAGTTCCTAAAATTTTATCGTAAGCGACACTGTTTGTACAGAACTTTATTGTAAATAGCAGTTTGAACTCTAGTTCTAACTAAAGTTCCATCGGCACTTGCTACAACCGAATGCTTCAAAATCAGCTTCTTTCCCTCATCAAAATTTAGTGCAATCTGCCATTATGCAATTGAAGCTGCAATCACTAAGTGCGGCGTGGCTCGACGAGCGGGGTCTTTTTTGAAACTCTTGCTTTGCCAAGGGTTTATAAGATTTAAAAGCAGATCAGAAAGACGAAAAACAGACACCTTACGAATTTTCGCCCGAAAACGGATTTTCCATACTAAATATTTCGAAATCGAATTGAAATATTTCATTTTCGGATTTCCATATTCGGTTTACGAATATGACCCACTACACTGAGAAAAAAATGCGTTCTAAAAATTAAATTTTTTATTTGATTACCGTTTAAAGATGTTCGTATTTAAATCAAGTGATAAGTGTTCAAAATTGAATATTTCCATTATACATGCACTACATATAACGGAAATATTCAATTCAAATACACCCGTATTAAAATGAAACATTTTTCACTGCACAGATGGCGTTTTGCACGTCTCGGATGCTTTTTCATATGTAATTAAGAAAGTAGGTATATGTATACAAAGCATGCGCAGCGGTGACAACACATACACACATTCACACATACATGCTACATGTTTATCTGTACATATGCACTAATCAAACTCAACATTTAAAAAGACATTTACATGTATGGCTGTAGCTGAGTGTGCGAAGACGCTTGATACAATTGGTTGCTGCCAATAGTGTCCGGGTTCAATTACCATCAGGCGGAACATACAATTAATTTTTTTTCTTAATTACGAAAAAGCATATGTGCCCTTCACAACGACATATTTAATAACTTACATACTCAAATTTAAAACGAGTGGGGTTGGTGCTCTTTCATATGCGTATTTTTTTTAATTTAGCACGTTTTTTTTCATTCTAAAATTTTTTTCCCTCAGTGTACGTAATCCAAATTTGATTGCCAGAGTTACGCGAAAATCGGAAAAGTGATTCGAAAGCGTTTGAGCTAATGGATAACATGTACCGGCGTAAGAAAACACAAAAAAATTTAAAATAATGAATGCAATGTAACATTTTTGAATAGTTTTTCAAAAGATTTACTAAGGACAAAAAGCAGTGCTACTAGATCAAAAAATTTTAAGGTCACGTCTTACTCGTCTGGGCGCTTGTTGATGTTGATCTTATACATGCATACTGATGGAAATGCACAATATAAATATTCACATATTCTCATACATATCACTTGATTTCTGCAAGAGGGTCATAATCACGGTTGCCAACTGTCCCGGATTTAAAACCTATGTCCCGGTGCCGGTACAACACATGGCGGGACGCGAAATTACCCGGTTTCTGGCGAGAAAAAAAAAAATTAGATATCTCGTTGTAAAAGCTCGTAAAATATGTACACTGCCGGAAAAAAAAATATGACACAGCAAACTTTTCACAATATATGCAAAAATTTTCATTATAATTTTCCGCTGATTTCGTATAAAAATATGGTTCATTCTACAACAAAAACATCAAAATATAATTCCTAATCTTTGTGCAAAACTTTTTAATCAGATTTTTTAGAATCTGTAGCCCAATCAATTTTATTATAATAAAGTGCAAGTTTCAAGGAGCTAGGAATTACCGTTGATTTTTGGAAATTTTTCTTCACGCAGTCTCTTCCATATAAAATTTTTTTTCGAAAATACTTTATATGGAAAAAATGCAAAACACATTCACAAAAAAGTTCTCAAAAATCAGAGCGATTTTTGATTAACTCCGAACTTGCATTTTTTTACTAGAATTTAATGGGCTGCAAAACTGCATACTCAAAAAAAATCTAAAAAATCTGATTAAAAAGTTGAAAGTTTTGATGAAAATTTGATTTGCACAAAGTTTAGGAATTATATTTTTATATTTTTTGTTGTTGAATGAACCATACTTTTATACAAAATTGGCGGAAAAATATTAGAATAGAAATTGTTACATATATTGTGAAAAATTTGCTGTGCCAATACTTTGTTCAGAGTTCGATTAATCAAATTATTTGAAATAAGAAGAAAGGGGGTTTAATCACGTTTACAACGATACCAATTTTTTAAAAATCAGTTAAAAATTGTTTGAAATATAAGGTTTTTAATTTTTCGAAGACTCGACCTTATAGCACCTGTATAAGTTTGCACAAACTAAGGTTATATGCCATTTAAATAAGAGCAATAGGCGGACTACGTCTATATATTTAGTTTTTTAGTTATTTACATATAATAATAAAAAATAATTTTTTACCAAAGGCCCTATTTCGAACTTCGAAGGCACATATCTCGATTTCGGAAGCTAACTTCGAAAAACGTAGAAATAACTTTTTTACCTATGACTCCATCTCTTAAAAAAATTGGTTTGGTCCAATACCCAGCAGAGTGCTGTACAGT